CAGGTCAAGAAGGCTTACATCACGCCAGCTCAGCAGCCACAGACACAGCCAGGTGTTACTAGCCTGCCTCACCAGCAGGCAGTGTGTCTGCAGCTGCCAAATCAGGTCCTCTCCTCCTCGCATGTGGATGTTCCTACAGACCTCTGCGCTGGTCCTAAACTAGGTAACACCAGCCCTGCTTTTCCTGCGGATTCCACGCCATCGACATCATTTGCCTCCCAAGCAAGACTGTTTCAACCCCGAACAGAGCCCATCCTTTACACCGACACTGCCATGTGCTCAGTGCTTGACCACCTTCCCATCATGGCACAGGGTGATCTGATCTCACCTCAATCAGACGCCTCCACTGGTCCTCAGCTAAACCAAAGAAGCGCTGCACCCACTCAGACAACGGCTACCTCCCAAAGCTACGCAGACCTCACTACTGTGGACGTCAGCCAGATTGACTGTTAAAAACTTTTATTGAACTTTTTGAACGTATCACCACAATAGAGCACACAATCTAAAAATAAAGGTGGTGCAAAGAAGTGGCTGTGAGATGTGATTATTGTTTGTGAGGAGAGAAGGCTTGACATATGAGTGATTGTCATGTCCTGAGAGCTATATAGTGATTTAATTCCTCTTGTTCGACTACACTTGTCTTGGTCTGCCTCACTGTAAATCCAACCTTCAAAGGTCGACTTGTTACATATCACCAAGAATTAGTGGCAAATTAGTGGCACAAGACACGGAGGGATAGAGAGGGAGCGAGAGAGACAAACATGGAAACAAGACACAAAAGGAAGATGCAGAAAAAAGCTAAAAAACCTGGGCTACGAATTCTGGGATAGGTTGGGCCACAACGGATACATCCGACCTATCCTTCAAATTTGGGGAAATGAAGGAGCGTTTGTTGGCCGCATTTGGAGCAGCCTTCGAATTGGGACAGCCTTCAGCGCCTGGCTGTGACATAATCGGCCTTCAATTGCAGCCTCCGAAGGTAGCAGCCCCTGAATTGGGGCATAGTTAAAGATAGCCTTCCTCAAAAAAATTATTAGTGTGTTTAACAAAGGCTTGAACTTGTGACACAGCATCACATAAACTCATCACCTTTTGTCAAAGTAACAGTGGCTGACTGGCTAAGGAAGCTGGCAGGGAGAAGAATCTGTATCTCTCCATGAGAGAGAGGAAGGGATCACAGCTGGTGAGTTTCTATTGTTGCACAAAAGGACATTTTATTGACAGGTTAACCAACATCCAGCAGTCATAGTAAGGATAACGGCAGGCAAAATTAATCAAGCATCCCTACATAGACTTCTGCGCTAAATTCATCTCTTAGATAGTTTCCCATTCACTTCGAGCACTCATAGATTCCAAAGACAAACACATTTTGGGGCTCAAACCAAAGCCATCAAGCTCAATATTCCTTTGGGGGAGCTCCCAGAAACACTTCACTTATCCACATTAGTATCTACATTCCAGATATCACCCATCGTTCAGAAGTGGTAGCTCTCATTATCAGCCAACCACTCCAAACATATTAAGATGCATCTCTTTGAAGACCCTGGTATTAGGACACCCTTGATTAAGCAACCACAATCCTCACGTGGAACAAAAGCTCTTCTTCTGGTTCAAGCAACGATTGCTGTGACTATTTAAGTCACAGCAATCGTTGTCGGTCCTGCGTGCTGCACAACAACATTCAATATTTAGTATTTACTGTTAGCTAGATTAATGCGAT